TCGATTTCCAGCACACACATGGCGGCTACGAACTGTCCTTAACTCCAGTTCCAAGGGACTCCGACACCCTCTTCTGACCTCCACAGCATTGCACGACATGGGTGCACTCACATACGTGCAAGCAATATACTCATAAAAATAACAAAGTATTTTTTTAATTACATAAGCTGGGCATGGTGGCACATGCCTTTAGTTCCAGCACTTGGGAGGCAGAGGCAGGCAGATCTATGTGGATTTAAGACAGGCCTGGTCTACATAGTGTGTTCCAGGTCAGCTGGGGCTACAGGGAGAACCTGTCTCAAAAAGACCAAAGAAAAATGTATAAAACGTATTTTTTTTTAAAGACAGACAGCTGGGCATGGTGGTGCACGTCTTTAATCCCAGCACTTGGGAGGCAGAGGCAGGTGGATCTCTGTGAGTTCAAGGCCAGCCTGGTCTACATAGTGAGTTCCAGGCCAGCTGGGGCTACAGAGAAACCCTGTCTCAAAAAGACCAAAAAAAAAACCACAAACTGAGTGTGATGGCACTTGCCTTTAATCCCAGCACTTAGGAGGTATAGGCAGGTGGATCTCTGTGAGTTCAAGGTCAGTCTAGTCTACATAGCGACGAGTTCCAGGCCAGCCAGGACTACCTAGTGAGACTCTGCCTCAAAACAACAAACAAATAGGGTCTATACTGTGGTCTCAGGTAGGAAGACCCTAATTGATTCTCAAAACAGTTAATAGGCTGAATGTAATAGCAGTACATTTTCAACAATGTGTTTGAGTGAATTTGACAAAACACTGCTAAGGGTTATCTTCAGAATTATAAAAGCAAGGTCACGTGATGCTAGGGAATAGACAGCATCGAGGGAGCAGTAGCAGCGCCTGGGATGTGGCTCAGTGAGAGAGCACCAGTATAGAAACAGGTGAGACCCTGGCACTGAGAAACGAACCAGAACACCACCTAGAATGGTCTGAAATAGACTTAAGGAAGCAGAGAAATGTCATAGATGGTAAGATTGACCTATCGATCTATGGATTTTTAAAAATAAAATGGTGAGGCAGCTGACAACTCACTCAGAAAATTTTATTAAAATAAATATTTACTCTTTACCAAATATATATTAGGTTTTTTAAATCATATAAAAATAATGAAACCACAAGTCCTAAAAAGAAAAATAAAACAAAAATATTCTTTTTTTTACTCTCAGAATAAATGAAGGCTTTCTTTTTATTTTGTGTATGGGTGTTTTGCTTACATGTGTGTATGTGCGCTAGTATATGCAGTGTGGGAAGAGGCCAGAAGAGGGCCTTGGATCCCCTGGAATTGAGTTACAGACAGTTGTAAGCTGCCAATGCCTTGTTCCTAGTAGAGGTAAATTGGGAACAACTAAGATGTACAGTTAATATGTTATGAGATGAATAAATAGAAGCATGTCCAAATATTGATGTATCATGCAGCCTTTAAAAGACTGACCAGGGCCAGGCATGGTAGTACATGCCTTTAATCCCAGCACTCGGGAGGCAGAGGCAGGCAGATCTCTGTGAGTTCAAGGCCAGCCTGGTCTACATAGTGACTTCCAGGACAGCTGGGGCTACAGTGAGACCCTGTCTCAGAAAGACCAAAACAAATAAATAAATAAAAATTTTTAAAAAATAAGTAAATAAAAGACTGACCAGGGACTGAGATGGCTCAGTGGTTAAGAGCACTGGCTGCTCTTGCAGAAGACCTGGGTTCAATTCCCAGCACCCACATGGCAGCTAACAACTGTCCTTAACTTCAGTTCCAGGGGATCCTACACTCTTCTGACCTCAGTGGACATTGCATGATATGGCACACTTACATACATGCAGGCAATACACTTGTACACATAAAATTAAAATAATAAATAAAAAATTAAAAGACTGACCAGTATTAATGTAGACACATTAACAAGTGAATGTTCGAAACAGATTGATGGAAAATAATTTCGTTTTCTTGTCTGCTTGGTTGGTTGAATGGTTGGGGTCTTTTTAAAGAATCTTTAAAGTCTTTATTACATTGTGTGTGTGTGTGTGTTTATGTGTGTATACTTGTAGAGGTCAGAGGACAACTTTGAGGAGTTGGTTCTCTCCTTCCACTATATAGGACCTGGGGATTCAACTCAGGTCACCAAGTTTGTCAACAAACATCTTTATCTGCTGAGCCATCTCATCAGCCCCCAGTTGGTGGTGGTGGTGGTTTTTATCATTGTTGTTATTATTATTATTATTATTGTTATTATTATTATGACTTTGGTCTTTTTGAGACAGGGTCTCCCTATAGCCCCAGCTGGCCTGGAACTTGCTATGTAGACCAGACTGGCCTTGAACTCACAGAGATCTGCCTGCCTCTGCCTCCCGAGTGCTGCGATTAAAGACTTGTGCCACCACACCTGGCAGTTATTTTTTTGAGACAGGGTCTCACTGTGTAGTCTCAAGTTGGGCTGGAACTAGTATCCTCCTGCCTCAGCCTACCCAAGTGCTGGGATTACAGGTGTACACCACCATGCCTAGCTTGAAAAAGTAATTTCAAAAAAATCATCACCTGAATGTTGGTTCCAGTTCCTTTAGAGTCATGAAATTGGGAATGCCAATTTGACAATTTCTATGCTTTATTTCTATTTTATTTTATTTTATTTATGTATTTGTATGGGGATTGAGCCCACAGTGTCATGCATGCTAGGCAGGCACTTGGTCGCTGAGCTACATCCCCAATTCTTGTTTTTCATAAGAAGCATACTTTTTTATTTCAGAAAAAAAAAAAATAGATCTTTGCTTTTTATCTGAAAGTCCATCTGAGGGCCTGAATTTACTACCACGCTGCCCACATTGACCCAATTAGCCATATAGAAACCTCAGCTGTGTGTCCCCAGGCACAGCTAACGCACTGATCCTGGATCCCATCAGAGGCCCTGCAGTCAGACTGGGAGCCCAGAGGTGTCAGGAGGAAGCTGCTCCCCAGGGCCCCAGTGACGTGTTCAGTTACCTAGACAGGGAGCCTCAGAGCACACTGTGTATAGAGAGGGTAACTGGGGAGGAGTGGGAGCAATCAGGAGGCCACAGGAGGAAGAGGGCAGCCGGAAGCCATGAGAGCATCCCAGGTGGCTCAGGAAGAGATGGCTTGGGTGGAGGCAGGAGGGAAGAAAGGAGATGAGACTTGCAACTTGGAGCATTTTAGAAACTTTCATTGTTGTTTTATGTCATTGTTTGTATGTAGGTGACAGATGATCCCAGAGCCTCACACATGCTAGGCAAAGGCTCCAGGTCTCAGTTACATTTTTGACTCCTAGATCTTAGAGAGAAGCTGTGTTTACTGAACTAAGACTGCTTTTGGTCATTTATGGGAAATTCTGCCTTAGAGACTAGAGAGATGACTCAGCAGTTAAGAGCACTGGCTGCTCTTGCAGAGGACCTGGGTTTTGTTTCCAGTACCCACATGGACTGGCTCACAGCCACCTGTAATTCCAGTTCCAGAATCCAGCGCCCTCTCTGGTCTCCATGCCACCTGCACACACATGGTACATACCATACACTCGGGCGTACACAGACTCATAAAATAATCTTAAAAAGAAAAAAGAAGACTCTGCTTTAGGTTCAGCTTTTGCTAGGGTCTTTTTGTGTATTTAAGTGTATTCCTATAAAGGGGAAACATACTCATTATTAGAACTAGAGTCCAATATAATTTCCTATGGAAAATGATAACCATATAAGGTAAATAGAATACATATACAATGGAGTGAAAACAAGAACAGTTTTACATACTGAATCTGACAGAAAGCTGTGAGCTGAGCCCACATGCCCACTCTCCAGGTTAAAATGGGCAGTGGGCAAGTTTCAGAGAAGTTAATTCAACTTTTTCTTTTCATTTGTTTTTACTATACTGGGGATTGAACCTAGAACTTAATACTTGCTAAGGAAGGGCTCTACCACTGAGCCCCAGTATTTATTTATTTTTATTTATTTACTTATTTATTATTCATTTATTGCTCTTTATCTTTTAGATATATTTTTTTAATATTTTATTTATTATTTTTATATTTTTTTATATTTTATATTATTTTTATATTTTATTTATTATTTATTATGTGTATGCGTGTATTTGCCTGCATGTAGGTAAGTGCACCTGTGTCGTACAGTGCCCGCGGAGGACAAAACAGGCTGTCGGATCCCCTGGAACTAGAGTTATGGACAGTTGTTAGCTGTCGTGTGGGTGCTGGGATTTGAATGCAGGTCTTCTGCAAGAACAGCCAGTGTTCTTAACCGCTGAGCCACCTCTCCAGCCTATATATATATAATGTGTATGAGTGTATTGCCTGCATGTATGTGAGTGCACCCATGTAGTGCAATGCTGTGGAGGTCAGAAGAGGGCATCCCTGGAACTGGAGTTAAGGACGGTTCATAGCTGCCATGTGGGTACTGGGAATCGAACCTGGGTCCTCTGCAAGAGCAGTCAGTGCTCTTAACCACTGAGCCATCTCTCCAGCCCTTATTGCTTTTTATTTTGAGACAAGGTCTTACTAAGTTCTCCAGGCTAGCCTTGACACCTCTCTCTTTCTCTCTTCCCCTCTCTTCCTCTCTCTCTCCCTCCCTCCCCCTCTTCCTCTCTCTCTCCCTCCCCCCACACCAAGGCAAACATTGAACTCATGATCCTCCTTTCTCAGTCTCCCAAGTAGCTCAAATTACAGGCCTGTACCACCAGACCCAGCCAGAAAAGGTATCTTAAAGGCATGCTAAACCACTGATACTTTCACTCTTTACCATGGAAAGAATGGTGTCTTTGCCATGCATACTGCCTTGCTAGACACCTCCAATAAGGACAATTTCATGCCTCACCTCATGAGATACACACCTGGGAGTCGCGCTGACAGGGAGGAACCTGCCTGTGTGTCTGACCTCAGTTCCTGCCCTCCTGGGCAGCGGCTGTTGCTGGAAATGGTATCTCCTGCAGGGTGGACTGCTTGGCAGTGATCTGAGCCCACCTGTCTGCCTTGCCCGCAGGCTTTTGAAGACATCTACCTGGAGGAGCGGAAGACCATCAAGGTTCTGCTGGAGTATGCCGACAAGATGTTCACCTATGTCTTTGTGTTGGAGATGCTGCTCAAGTGGGTGGCCTATGGCTTCAAGAAGTACTTCACCAATGCCTGGTGTTGGCTTGACTTCCTCATCGTGGACGTGAGTGTGGGCATGTGAAGGGGACATGGGAGGGGAAGCTCATGGCTGAGCGAGAATGGGGCAGTGGAACCAGTCTGAGTCACCAGGCAGAAGTGAAGGTGCTCGGCTGTGGCATGCGGCTGGCAGAGCAGAAGGAAGCCAGGTGTCTTGACTTCAGTGTTCTTGGGTCTAGGAGGAAGAGGCAACTGAGAGCAGAGGCTTGCCATCAGAACCTCCTGTTGGGCGCAGGAGGCCTATAACCCTGCTTCTGTAGGAGACAGTAAGATAACACAGAGCAGTTTAAGCAGAGTCCTAAGCCAGGGGCGACAGCAGGCACATTATCTCAGGGTGGCCAGAAGGAGCAGGTGAGCAGGAGTCCTCCTCAAGGGTAGACCACAGCATGTCTCTGTAGATGAAGGACCCATACAGAGCCTCCATGTCCACTCAGGTTTGGGAAGGATGTTGGGAGGCTTAGGTGAAGGAATCAGTGGGAGGCTGAGACAGATGTCACATGTAAGGAGTAGGGGCAAGCGTGAACTGTGACTCCCTGGACCATCAGACTACTGGGAGGCCTTGTGTGCCTAGAGAATGTCCCAGGAGGGCAAGTGTAGGAAGTTGGCATGGCCTCTCAGCATCAAATGAGAAGCCCCTTCCTCAAATTTCCCAAACCCCTGGACACTGCAGAATGAATACAGGCTTGACAAGGGTCCTGAGCACAGTCAAGTGAGAGGGCAGATGGGTGAGAGGAGAGGAGGCTTAAGGTGAGAAGCAACCTTAAATCTACTCTGGGGTCTCAGGTACATGTGTCCCTGGGATGGGTTCTTCAGAAAGGAAAGAGTAGGTATCAGGATCTGCAGTGCACTTTCCAGAAAAGCACGTGTTTTCTGGTGGCTCTTGGGCTTAGCGCTAAGGCCTGCATACCAGCAGGGACTGCCTTGCGATTACAGAAGAGGCTCAGACCTGTGCTAGGTCACCACATCTTACTCAGAGGCAAGAGGAGGGACTGAGATCCAATTATCCTAGCCTGGATCTAAGCTGAGGCGACTACCTAAGGGGTGAGGCAGAACCATGATATCTTTGCATGAGAGGCTCAGTGGACTGGAGAGTATACGGACACTGATCCAGGACCTTGGGCCTCCAGTGTAACCTCTTTCTGTTACCCCAAGTAGCCAAGATAATGCCAAGGATGTGATGATGGGTCCTGGGGTCAGTGGAGCCTTGCCAGCCCTTACAGCTATCCTGAGATGGAGGTGACATCCCTGAGGCACCCCTGTTAAGAGGCCGTGGTAGAGCCTAGGGTCCTGCCAGCTCATCCCTGTGGACCCCTGGCCTGCTATTCCTACAGCTTCTTGAGAAATTGAACCCACTGAAAGACACCCCCAGGGTAGACTAAGGAAGGTTTACAAGTTACAGTCCATCATCAAGGGAAGCAAAGGCAGGAAATCAGGGCAGGAACCTGGAGGCAGGAACTGAATGAAGCACAGACTATGGAGGAACACTGCTTACTGGCTTGTTCCTCTGGCCTGTGCTCAACCTACTTTCTCATACAACCCAGGACCACCTGCCCAGGGGTGGCACCACCCACAGTGGCCTGGACCCTCCCACATCACTCAACAATATGGAAAATGCCTCATAGACATGCTCATGGGGCCAATCCCATAGAAACAATTCCCCAGTTGAGGTCCCCTTTTCCCAGGAGTGCCAAGCTGACAGTGAAGCTATCCAGCACACCCCCTGAGGTGACTTGAGCAGATCTGAGGAACACTGTGGTTAGCTCCATAGATATCTATCAGAACATTCCAAAAAGAGGTTGGAACAGCAGTGCAAAGGACCTGTGGCTGGAGCATGCCTGACATACTTGAGAACCTGCAAGCTGGCAGAGTGGCTGGGGCAGAGGGACGGCAGAAGGGACCAGATGGCATGGAGGAGGAGGGGCCACATGCGTCTTTGTAAAAACATGGACTTTTATTTAGAATGAAAAGAGGAGAACTAGCCAGGTGTGGTGGTGGAGGCCTGTAATCTCAGGTACTTGAGAAGCTAAGGCAGGAGGAGTGCAAATTCAAGGCCAGCCAGGGCAAGTCAGTGAGATATTTCAAAATCGCAGCGTGCAAAGAGGGCTGGGGATGTATCAGGGGTAGAGCATTTGCCTGGCATATGTGAGGTCCTGTATTCAATCCCCAGCACCACCCAAGAAAGGGAGGCATTGGATGGCTTTTAACAGAAGAATGCCATGCACTGGCTTTTGTTCTTAAAGGATCCCATGCCCTACAGGCAGGAGAGGGGCACAGATAAAGATTCTGGGAGCAGGTAAGGAGGCTCTGGCTGTAGCCTAAGGAGAGATGAAGTGGCCTGGTCAGGATGTGGTGAGAAATGTTTGGATAGCTCATATAGTTTGAAGGCAGAGCCAATGGGAAATCATGCTGGGTTAAACCCAGAGTGTCAGAGCCGGCAGGAATGATGCCAGGGGTGTGACTTGAACAGTGACCCTACACTGAGACCGAGTCCTAGCTGTGGAGTAACTGTGGTATGCCTTGGGAAGGGAATGGCAAGGGTGGCTGATGAGGAGCAGGCAGGCCAACTCCGACTTTGTGCTCTGGAGGCCCCGCCCTCAGGAAGAGGCCTCGCCCCCAGGAGGAGTCCCACCCTCAGAAGGGTGGGTCCCTAACATGCCTCCCTTAACATCCTTCCAGGGGTGGATGAAGGTAGCATGGAAGGTAACCTGGAGTCTTCTTCCTCTGAGCTTGTTAGGCTTCCCTGCCTGGGAGGAGGCTCTGGGACTTGGCCCCTGTGCACAGTCCTTCCCATCCCAGGCCTCCCAGAGCACCAGGGTGAAGTGCAAGGTCCAGATGAGAGGCTGTTTTCAGGCTGTGATCACAAGCTAATGGAGAAGTAATGGCAAGAGCCCTCCGAGCTTTAGTGTGAGTATCCACAGAGGGGGAATGCTAGGGAGGGGACAGAGGGGGCAGAGAGCAGAGGCTCCTCCAGTGTCACCCACCTGCTCCTGGGTTCTTCCAAATGTTAGAACATTGCAAAGTCCAGCTTTGGGGAAGAGACCATGACTGCTTATTGCTCATATGCACCCCAAGACTGCCCTTTCTTCTGCCAAAGAGAGTTCTTTGGGAGAGAAGGGACCAACCCAGGCTTTGAGCATGTAGTTTAAAGGAAAGTACTTGGGACCAGAAGCCCAGGCTTTGTCTCTGCTGGACCATACCAGCAGGGTGGCTTTGAAACCCAGTGTTCTCCTGTGTGGAATAGGAATGACGTACCCTGGCATCATGCGGTTAGGGGGTGACATGCATATAGCCGGACAGTCCTGGCTTGCCCTAGCTCCAGGAAGCCTGGCCCAGCACTTCATAGGCCTGTGAAGGCAGCTTGGCCTATCTGAGGTAGACTGAGAGCCAGCTGCCTGTCTCTGTAGCCATCCATCTTCCCACCTCCCCTTTCCTCCACAGGTCTCACTCGTCAGCCTTGTGGCCAACACCCTGGGCTTTGCCGAGATGGGCCCCATCAAATCACTGCGGACACTGCGTGCACTGCGACCCCTGAGGGCCTTGTCACGATTTGAGGGCATGAGAGTAAGTAAGGGACTGCTGTCCTAGCAGGTGGAGGAAAATGGACACACCACCATTTTAGAGCTGTGTTCTCACCACCAGATGATGATTTGCTGAGTATAAGGCACATAGATTAGTAAACACCTTTGTATTGGTAGTGTGGTCCCCTTGGCATTTCGGGGGTCTTCACATTTTACCAAAGAATATGAGCATACAAGGAAAATTTTCTTTCTTTCTTTTTAAAAATGTGTTTCTCATTGTGTGTGTGTGTGTGTTTGTGTGTGTGTGTGTGTGCACGCATGTGAGTGCCATCACATGTCTGTGCAGATCAGAAGACAACTTCCAGGAGTTGGTTCTCTCCTTCCACCCCGGATTCCAGAAATCAAACTCAGGCTCAGGTTGAACCATCTTGATAGCCTTATTTGTTTTTTGAAAAAAAACAAAATTTACTTAGCACACAAAGTAGCAAATTCCTTTATGGCATTTTCATATGTTACTGCATTTTCATACTTAGTTTTGGTTGATTCCTCCTCTCCCCCATCTCTCTGTCCCCTCCCCCATTTATACACTCTTCCACCTCCATCAGTCCTCGTTCCACTTCTCATACCACCTGTGTTCTGTCCCCCTCACGCTCCCTTAAAACTTCTTTCTCCCCTCTCCTGGCCCCTTTCCAGGGCTCTACCTACACTCACTCCCACATAAATATACACATTAGAAAGGTTAGAAGCTAAAAACTGGAGAGACAGCTCTGCACTTAAGAGCACTGTCTGTTCTAAAGAAGATCCAGGTTCACATCCCAGCACCCACATGGTAGCTAACAACCATCTGTAACTTCAGCTCCAGGGGATCCAGCACCCTCTTCTGTCTTCTGTGGGCACCGCACGTTACAAGTGCACTTACACACATGCAGGCATAACACTCATACACATAAAATAAAAATAAATCAAAAAATGTTTTAATTAGAAGCTAGGATCACATAAGAGAGAGCAAGCAGTGTTTGTTTTTCTGAACTGGGTTACCTCATTTAATATAATATTTTCCAGTTCCATCCATTTTATAAGACAAATTTTAAAACCCCTTAAAGAAAAATAGCCTAATAGGTGTAGAGCCCCCATTTTGACGTCCCCAGCACTGAAAAAGAATGAACTATGGTGCTCAGTAAGAAAGCAGACATTCATATGTATGTATGTGCTTGATTTTTTTATACCGCGCTATGTGGCTTCAGAGGACATGTCTGTTGTCTCCCTGCCCCCACAGGCACCATCACACAGATCAACACTTGGTTGATGGCTTTGAACCTTACCCATACCACCAATTCATAGAGGGATACATTGCTTATTCCTGTTGGGAACACACCCACAAGGGCGTAATCGGACCCGAGTTAAATGTCTCTTTGGGAGCCAAGGACATTTGATTCCAGAGGGACACAGGGTGATGCTAGGTGCCAGGAATGCCTCTGATGTGGCTGCTGGCTACACAGCCAGCCAAGGGCAAGCTCTTGGGGTTTCTGCCCTCTCCATAGAAAGCTTGGTGCCCTAGGGAGCTGGGTTTCACACCCTGCTCTGGGGTTGTAGTACTTGCTGTGGAACAACATTCTCTATCCTGATATCAGGCCCTCTGGATCCCAACAGAGTCCATAATACCTGCACCCCCATCTGTGTGGCTCACAGCTTCCTGACTCATGGGCAGTAGGGCTTGGTTTCTGAATTGGGTAGAGTACCCTACATGCATCTGTCAGGGAGCCCCTTTCTGGGAACTGAGTTTAGAGGAAGGGGATGAGAGGGTCAGACCCTGATCCCTGGAGAACTATCACAGCATCCTGCAGACATAGCTCACTGGGATCTCCTGGGTATACTTTAGAGGAAACACCCCTCCATCCCAGTAGCACTAAACCCTAAAATAAACCAGAAGTTTAGCTCAGAGACTGTAAGGTCTAAAGTCTTAGGATGGGTTTAAACATGTCTTATCCATTGGATTGCTAGCAGCCTCAACTGACAAAGACCCTGTTTCTATGGAAATTGAGTTTTGAAGGTCATGACTGAAAGCAAAAGAGGGCCTGGAAGAGAAAGGTCTAGAATGTTCTGGGATTGCACCAGATCTTAGAGTGCAAAGAAAAAGGCCTCTTGCATTCTCTCTTACTCCCCTCAAGTGCCAACAGGATGTTAGCCATGGAGTTGGTCTCTCCCATGACTGAAAGATCCCCATTCTCACCCCCATAGCTGTGTTCAGTGAGCTCAGTCAGTAGTGGGGGTCTTATAAAGGGTGTATGCTCTAGACACCCCCAAGAACTGAATCTCCTCTCTGTCCACTCGAGGTGGTGGTCAATGCTCTGGTGGGTGCTATCCCCTCCATCATGAACGTCCTCCTCGTCTGCCTCATCTTCTGGCTCATCTTCAGCATCATGGGTGTGAACCTCTTTGCGGGGAAGTTTGGTAGGTGCATCAACCAGACTGAGGGGGACCTGCCTCTGAACTACACCATTGTGAACAACAAGAGTGAGTGCGAGTCCTTCAATGTGACTGGAGAATTGTACTGGACCAAGGTGAAAGTCAACTTTGACAACGTGGGGGCTGGGTACCTGGCCCTTCTGCAAGTGGTAAGTCTGTACCCCAGAAGGGTGACCCTTCACCTCAATGTGGGCAGGAATGGGGCAATGGTGGCCCATTAGATCCTTGCAGTAGGGTTACGGGACCCAAAAGAGGCTAGGGTTTTCTAGGGACTTGAATCTCAGTTCTAGACTAATTCTACATTGTCCAAGGTACATAGCATAAGGGTCAGGCCAGCACTAGACAGGACCAACTCCCCAGCCAGCAATCAAATGGACTTCTTCAGGTGGCACAGGCTAGATACAAAAGACCATCCATCTATTCCATAGGGACTGAACTATTAGCAAACTTGTAGCTTGCCACTTCTCTATTATAAAAGGTCTTAGGCTGTTTAAAAGAATATGTTTAGGATGGGGATATAGCTCAGTGGTAGAATGCATGCCTTGCATGTGCAATACCTTGTATTCAATCCCTCCCCCAAAATAATTTGTTTACTTCATCTTTGATGTGCAAATCTTCTAATGTACCCATTGATTTTTATGATTAGATGGTGGTAGTGATTATAATACGTGCCACAAAACCAACCCACAGGGAATAGGGAGATGGTTTGGTCAATGAAGTGCTTGCCACACAAGTATAAGGATCTGAGTTCAGATCCCCAGCACCCACAGAAAAAGCCAGGTACAGTGACACATGCTTGTACTCCCGGCCCTGGGAGGGAAAGACAGGAGGATTCCTGGAGCTTGCTGTTCACCTACTCAGTGAAAGAACTGTCTCAAAAAAATAAAAATAAGGCAGGCATGGTGGCTCATGCCTTTAATCCCAGCACTCAGGAGGCAGAGGCAGGCGGATCCTCTGTGAGTTCGAGGCCAGCCTGGTCTACAGAGTGAGTTCCAGGCAGCTGGAGCTACAGGGAGACCCTGCCTCAAAAAGACCAAAAAAAATAAAAATAAGGTGAGAACTGGTGAGATGGCTCAGCCCTGCCAACAAGCTTAATGACTTGAATTTCATCCCCAAGACCGACATGATGGAAGGAGAGAAATTACTTCCTCAAGTTGTCCTCTTAACTTCC